AATGTTTTCCTTTCTGCTGAACTCCATTGCCATTGCCTTGGCTTGGATGAATGGGCCGTTGGGTAGATCTTGACGATGTAATGATGAAACAATAATGACGTTTAGATTAGTGGTTTAAACGTGATTCGCCCCTAGAGCCAACTCGCCAAAACACACGGTTTGAAAAAAACCTATACCTTACGCGGAACTCAACATTTAGCCTTCGCACCGCATACTTTAGTCGTAGCTCCAAGCCCTTGCAACACATGATGATGATGATGATCGATGAAGAGGAACAATCGAGCAACAAAAATTCAGAATAAGAATGAAGACGAAGATGTAAATGAAAAATTTAGTATGAGGAGAGGACTAGGAAGAGGATATAAATAGTCTGATAGCAATGGTAGGTGGTGGCGCTGCAAAGCGACAAGCAATGGGGGCATTTATTTTGCAATACTGAGTGGGCCGCAAGGACGCGTTGTGAGACGTGCCCTCGGCGAGGTGCCGTTGGACCCCGCCGGGGAGGTTGCGCGATGGGGGCCCCCGGGCCCGAGGCCCACCCAACGAGGGGGGGGGTGCGGCGGCAGCGGCGGCGGCTGTGGGTGGTGTGGTGCGTGGTCGTGGCGGCGCGGAGACGATTACCGGGTGCCGGCCGCTTTTCCTCCGCGGATGGCCGTAAAATCGGCGGCGCCGGGGGCGGACGGGGCGGAACCGACTGTGGGGCGGGTGGGGGGGGAGTCCGGGCGGGCCGGGGAGAGCGGAATAGAAGGCACCCGCGTTCGGGGACTGCAAGTGCAGGTCGAGTGATGAAAATATACGAACCGATATTACAGAATATCAGGTCTTTTCTATTTCATCGGGAGCGAAGTTCTACTGAAGAATGAAAAAAATGATCAATTAAATCGTTTATTTCAGAAGTCTGTCAAACGCCAAATTTCTCATCTTTAGGAAAATAAGAGAAAGTCTCGCAATTTATCTGATTTCAAAATATATCTATCTTGTATCTTCTTGAAACAATAGTCTGCCGCTAATGCGTGTTTTAGATTTGGGTGTTTGACGGGTTTCTTAAATAAACGATTCAATTTTCCTAACGAAAGTATTTCACTGTTTTGGAACCGAAATAAAATATTTTATTGTGGTGTTTTAAACGTTGTGTACTTCTCAAATACATATTATAGTGTTTACAAACTTATATTCCTAAATATTTTCGTTTCTTTTTTCCCCCATGGCAATTATTACAACTTACCTAGACCTATACTGTACTTAAGTCTTGCAAAAAGGTAATGAAAATGTGTTTGTTTTTCGTATATCACAGAACTGTAATGGTACAATGTGAATGTGAATTTGCTTGTAAGGAAAAATATATTTAATAGACATGAGATATTCGATATTCCTCTAATATATACGATTTCACTTCTTAAGAAGAACTTCATTAGACTAACACAAGAGTGCAAACCACTCGCTACTCTTTATTTGTTACCCCGGAAAATTAATGAGATATACTCATTATCACTCATCTTTTGTCAATTTGCACAACTTAACGCCGAAGAGAGAAATACGGCGATCCTTTCAATACCACATCTCTTTGCAGTAGACTTTCTATTTGTCTTTCTACGAGAGCGTACCATTGCGATTCGTTCCTAAGCTGCAGCTTCTGTAGCTACGTTCCTTGGGGCGAGAAAGTTGCATGAGTAATTATTGTGTTCACACTAAGGCTCAAACGCACGTCAGAACTTTACGACCTTTTGACGCCAACTTACAGTCTTCGCTCAACCAACCGGACAGCTAGAGCGGCGATGGAGAAGAGTATTGAGTACAGGAAAAGGAAGTTGTACCTGGATAACTCGTTCAAGTAAAAATAAAAGATAATGGAATTATATATATAATAATTTCGATTTAATGAGGTTCGAGTGGCTACATTAAAGAGAGTTAAGGAATGTTAATGTGAAATTAACAAAATTCGAAATATCAAAAAATTCCTGTAGCCGAATTTCGTGTTATCGATGATTTAATTTATTGCAGAACACGAATTTAGGATTGAGAGCAGATAATCAGGACAGGTCAAGATTTGAGATAACCGGTCCTAGAGTGCCAAAAATGTTGCATGATGCTTATGTGTCAATAAAGTGGTATACCTTTCTGCCATTGAAAAATAACTGTAACGCTACTTCTACTTTTTCATTTCAAAATAGCCTGGCTAGTACTTGCCTGCCACTAATGCGCCATCCTTCATGTCTTCTGCTTCACCGAATATATCCCCCACATGCCCAACACGGTTGCCCACACTCGTGACGTACCCATTGACATCCACAGTCGATCATGCGTCGCAATACCACGTACGCTCGCGTCCTAACCTTGCGGGCGTTGGGCAAGGTGGTCTGGCCTCTTGCCCGCTTCCTCGGGCGCAGCTGGGCTACGCGGCGGCGGCGGCGGCAGCGGCGGCGGCGGCGGCGGCAGGACGCGTTCGCGGGCGCGCAGTGAAAGTGGATGCGGATTAAGCCGCCGCCGCCGCCGCCGCCGCCGCCGCCGCCGCCGCCGCCGCCATCGCCGCTTCTGCTACCCGCCACGCGCCACGCGGTATCTACTCCCGCCCGAGGCCCTAATTCACAGCGGCCGAATGAGGAAGTGACCTGTAGTCCCACTAACGAAAGAATCCGCTTTAATTAGGGAATTACGACTTTCACTCTCATTTCAATGTTTGCCCTAGTAGCGAGTTGTAAATAGTTTCATGAGTAACTGATGGAGAATTGTTTTTCATGCGGATGAGTAGGTGAGGGGGTTATTAAAGTCAGATGCACAAGAAAGAAATCGAGTATTTATATTTATGAACATATATACAATATATTTATAATATTAATTATAATAATATTAATTATAATAATTATTATTATATTTTATAATTATAAAGAAGTGAATATGTCTGAAACGCGTTTTCTAAACAATTTCTGGATCACTGACCCGAATTTGGTTTGGGTATTTGGCTCACTTTCCCTTTATCTATTAAAAAAACGCTGTAGGCTCTTCGAAATTCGAACACAATGTTTTCTGATGTTTCTTCTATAAAAATAAAAATATGTGAAAATAACAATATTAGTCTTATTTTCATATTTCACATTCAACAAATTTAGGAGTTCGAAAAATAATGTAACGTACTATTTTAATTGAATTTATTACATTAGGTCGCTGTACATTGACCTAGACAAACCACATCGTTTGCACTCTGTAGCAAAGATACTCTTTAAGAAATGCTCCAATAGACTAAACTGACGATAACATGAATAGCATTACGTCTAATGTAAATAAATGTCATAGAATGATGTTTTGTGAGATTTGCTCAATACTGAAAGATAATATCGCGGTGACTGACGTTTTTAGTGTCCCACTTTGAAGATAAACAACTGTTGCATCTGTGAAATACCGCACAGCTAAGGAAGACTACGCAATTTCGAATACTTGTCTTTTGTTTACACATACTGAAAATCGCCAGACAGTGTGGTCGAAGCAATGTCTTGCAAACCGTAGATTCTAATTCGCACTAAACAACGAAAATAAATATTCCTTTCCATCCAATGAAAAAATATTAAAATTTCAGAGATATTACAAAACGGTTGACCCATTAGCATGGAAAATTATCCAAGTTGTTTCTGAAGTACTTGTTCATGAAAATCAAAAGTCAGCAACTTCGCATTTCACGGGATACTATTGCCTATATAATTCAGGCAGATGATGATTGAACACTAGGAATGAGAAGGTAATATGATTAGGCTTTAGATAATGAAGCCAATAAAGTTTTGTTATTTCTGTTGTCAAATGAGTGCAGTACCTCTTTAAGTTGGATCCTGCCGGAGCACTGGTGTTCAGAGCTCTGCACTTTGATTCTTCTGTCACGGTCTCAGGTCCCCGTTCACTCCTTCGAGAAGTAGAATAAACGTGTTCGCGATGGCAAAGTTCATGTTACTCAACGGAATGGTTACGCCGGGCATCGTAAAATTGCCGGTGTCTGAAGACATGACCATTCGCGATATAGAGCGATTCGCTTTCCCCTCTGGCGTTGTGCTGTGTACCGACGGAGGCATGTGCCAATAATTGTTTCTGACCAAACTTTTTGCTACAGTTGCTGTATAACGATGATATATCGTTTCGTACTCCAAAAGGCAATGATTGTTTCGCCACGTACAGCAAGTAGTCTCTGCATATTTTTATTTTTTTAATGTTAGAATACAACAACACGAAATGAAAACGAGATAAATTTTAAAATATGTAACCAGATTTGGAGGTATGTAGTAATGCCAGTTTGATATATTATTAAGTACGATTGTTTCATTTTGGTACTCACATGATCATAATTTGACTATTTCTATAGCATTCCGGTAGTCTGTGAACTCAACTCGCGGGAAAACATGAATATTTTCACTTTGTGCATGAAGTGGGAGACAAAGGCATATCGTTTCATATACTGAGTAATAATATTAGGAATCGCACAGTATTTATATACTATTTAAGTTCTTTTAAACATTAAAAACGATTCTCACAACTTATATTTCAATATTTTGACAGAAACGTCATTGATGATTTTATACACGTGTTGAATACTCATGCTACTTTTTTCGAGGCAGTTATGGCCTACAACTTAATAATTATGGCTCTACATTGTTCTTTTTCTTATGCAAAGCCGGGAAGAACCTCGTGTTTACAGTTTTCTTCAGAGAAACCCGTCATAAAAGCATTCATATTCTCCCTCCGGGGATGCCAACCGCCCAGGAGAGAAATCCCCGAGCGACCGCTCTAAACCTCCACACCCGCACGACGGCGTCTTTCTCCAGGCGCGGTTCTGGAGGGGCGGATGCATTGTGGGCGTGCGAAACACTATACGATGCGATGCGATGCGATGCGATGCGATGCGATGCTTCTGCTCCCGCCTCACTAACCCAGAAACATCTCGTGGGGGCGAGAAAGCAGATGCTCCACCGCCGCAGGCGACCAGGTCAGGCGAGGACATGGCGGGGTGACAGGGGTGATGGAACTGCGGTGACCCGAGATGAGGACAAAATGAAGAGGACAGGCGAGGGCAGGGCAAGATGGCAGGGATGATGGGCTGCTGGGTCACGAAATGATGAGGAGAGAATGAACAGGGCAGGCAAAGGCTGGGTGGGATGACGAGATTGCTAAGAGAATGAGCTTGACATGCAAGAATGGGTCAGACGGAACGTCAGAGATGACGGTGTTACTGGATCACGAGATACGTAGATAATGAGTTGATGATGAGAGAATGTGCAGGACAGGTAACAACAGGACGGAATAGCAGCGATAACGGAATTGGTGAGTCACGAGATGATGAGGAAAGAATGAGCACGAGATGAATCTTTGGAGAAAGGATGGAGCGGAATGGTGTGGGAGCGCAGGAATGTAAAATAATCGGGGTGAACTTAGAAAATGATGACAGGAGATGGCAAAAAGTGGGAGCAGAAGTATGCGGAATGAAGGTAGAGATCTGAGAGAAGGGCGGAAGAAATACGATAGACCAGAAGAACTGGGAGATCGAGGAAAAAATGGGAGAAGTGATACAAAAAACAATGAGGACAAGGATAAGAAAGATGGCTAGGAGAACAAGAAATATACGAGAGGAAAAATAGAAGAGTGCAGAAAAGACGATTGTGTTTGCAAAAAAAAATGTTAAAAATTAGTGAATTTGAAGAATACCAAGAAAATGTGTACGGCGAGAATGACAACAATTTAAATGTTTTTGAGATTATCGGGGGAGATGTAGAAAGCATGATAAAACGAAAAGAGTGGCCAACACAGAGGAAACTAAGATCATGACGTTGGAATCTGCTTGGAAACTAAAAAAAAAAACAACAACAAAGATCATAAGAAGTATAGAAAAGAGAGGGAAAATAGAGAACGAGAGACTGAAGAGAGCCAATGGTCTGAGATGGTGGCGTTGAGAATACGGAACGACAGACACGGAGGAGGGGGCGAAAAAACAACGAAGAGTGCACCATCTGGCTGCACTCACCTTTGGTGTCGAAGTGAAGGGGCTGCCGGCAGAAGCGATGCGAAACCCTCTTGACCGGTTGGGAGGCATTCCACCGCAGTAATTTTCCCGTTCACTCTTTCAGGGGAAAGAGCGATGCAGGTTCATCGGAGGAACAGCAGGAGAGAGAAATTGGGAGCGTACCGTGCAATTACCGTTGCGGTGTTTCTGAATTAATGATGGAACGATTTCGAGAACAAATTGAGTCATTCTGCGGAAACAATTGCAATGGGAATTAGAGAAAACGGAATAATTTATTTCTGAAAATTTCACCTCACAACGCAGCAGACGATTGCAAATTGGCTTTTGAAAATATTATGATTCATTACTTTTAATATTTCTAATCAGTAGGTATTATTAATTTTGATGGAGTAGATTACTTAAACCAAAGTTCAATTACAATTAGGAATCAGACTTATTATGATTTTGAAATAAATCCCGAATCTGGCTTATGACGGAGTATTTCAGTTAATGAGACATGACGTTTGTAAAGTTTTCTTTTTCTAATGATCTCTTAGATCTAAACCAATCAATGTGTGAGTAATTGAAGTGGGAAAAAGACAATAATTAATTTTGGTAACTTAAGCATACTGCGCATTTGTGAGATAAATGGAAGCAAAAGTATAATGGCTATTGATCTATCTGGATGACAAATAGCCGGATGCAGGAGGTTAACGACTTATTGACTACTATGCATACATGCTCATTACCGTTGTTGGCAGGTGAATAGCTTCCCAGTTACTTTTGGTGTGATTTCAATCTAATATTAAACTCGATAATGGATCTCCGAGTTTAGATAATGAATATGCGATTCCCGAAAATAGGCAATGGAGGTTTGCGTCTTGTCGTTTTCCTGGGCAGGTGATGACAGTGGGTGTTTGCGATTGACTTTGCATTTCATTGATTAGTGATTCAGGGAGCGTCAACTACTAAGGTAATAATCCTGTAAGTGTAGTTCATGTTTTCTCCTCGGAAGGTGGTGTTGATTTTCCCCCGCTGGATGGTGAGATCTGCCCGTCGATCTGACCGATCTGACCTAACGTCCGCTAGCGGTTTTGTCTCAACCAGGAACCATCCAACAGTGTCCCGCTAATGTCGAAAATCCTGCCATCGCCAGGACACGAACCTAGGACCGCCGGGTGAGATCAGTGACATCAGTTGATGCCCTAAACCACCTCTCCCGGGGACTGCAATTGATTGTGGTAGGGGCAATTATAAAGGATGCGCGAATGCGACTAATGATTGTGGAATAATGTATGATGGTATGTGATACGTGGTAGAATGAGAAGCCAGCCACGCTGTACCCACATGGTGAAAACAGTCATGGCCTTGAATGGGATTCTAACACGTAGTCTTCTGGACCTCCATGTACTTAAATGCAGCTGCTAAGCCCCTGTGCGAAAGAAGCAGACTCATACAAACATAGTCGACCTAAATAGCCTATAAGGTTGTGGTGGCAATCACTCAGCACTAAGATTGTAGCTTCAAATCTCAAGTAACGCATCAATGTGTAGTGACGTGATAATCAACAGACAATCACCACGTACTGTAAATAATTATCTAATTACCTAAAACAATCTGCTTATTTAACAGCTCTCTGTATTCGCTTTCCAACGACTTGTTACGCGACATTTGAATCATCACGAACATAATCCTCAAATGCCTGCATGCATCAAGCAGCCACACAACTCTTCGTAAATCACACTCGGAAATTTTCGAGTGACATTAGGTCACAGGGCACTTTTTTTGGCCCAAACAAAAGACGACGTACAGGCGCCGTCGTTTTGCTTTTGATCGGCGCTTTCCCTGCGGTGGGCGGCGGCGCGTTCCATATTCCGTGTGGCGGAGTGGGTTTTTTTGCTTGCAACCCAAATGTACAGCTGATTAAGCGTCGCCCGCCGCTGGAAACGCCGGGCCGTTACCTAACGCGGCCTCCGCTTTCTTCTCGGCGCTCCGTTGCTCAATTAAGTATGCAGAAACTTTCAACGTTCGCGCCTCTTCCAGCGCGGGACAACTTATCGCAGGTGATGACAACCGAAGTGTTTTAAAAGGTTCGACTTTTCTCGATGGCGTGACTACTGTTTGGCTGCACCGCTGAAAAGTCTTGTTTGCCTAATGATGGATTACCGTGGCGATAGAACCTACGGAATTGCGGAGCTGTCGTGACAAGTACCGTTCGCTTGAGCAAAAAGCATTTGAAATTATATAAAATAATTGCGTAGTAATTGTAACAGAAAAGTTTAGTGTCCTTGAAAACGTAGGCATGCTAATATTTTCTCACACTAATTTTTTAACCAACAGGCTGTGATATGGTAAATAGTGAAACGGCGCTAATATAGTAAAGAGTATTTGGTGATATAGTAAAGAGTAATACGAATATGAAAATATGGGTTGCTAACTTTTGACACAAATAGCACAAATAGGAAAGAAAATATCACACATAATATAGTATTAATTTATTGAGGTCTCATCCACCGGAATTCACTAGAAAACGAATCACGATACTGCTGATAAATTAAATTAATAACTAGATCATGGTTTCTTTCAACAAAGCTAATTAGCGTTGAAGGAATGCCACTGCGCTAAATCTTCTCGGTTTAGACCCTCGGCCAGAACTGTTAGCGGATTTCCCATGCGATGCCTCAAACCGCTCAGCCGGATGTCCCAACTAGGGAAGGGAAATGGAACCGGACAGGAGATGTATAATCCAGAGTAGTAATAACAATCAAAGTCCGTTCTTAAAGTACTGATTCAGCAGCTTCCCGGATATCAGTCAAAACGCCCACAATGAACGATTAGAGCTTCCGACTTTCAGAATTTTATTCCAGACGGTTATTTATTTCGTTAAACCAATGCACTCTTGCGCTTCGAACTTCCCAATCTACACTCTTTAACTTCCCGATCTGCGGCGTTCCACAGGGGGGCACAGGGCAACGGGAAATTATGAACGTTACAGTTGGCAGCACTGTAGATCCAGAGCACAAGATACACTTTGGTACATTTTGATTGTAAAAATATAAATGGCATGCGGAATACATGCACTTTTGTTACTGAATTATTTGTTTTATGGATTTATTCGTGCAAATGATATTAATACAAAATTTCCCGTTTCCCTGCGCCATCCTGTATTTGCGGTCAATCACGCCGGCGGCGGTGCGCTTCCCTTCTGGAAGCCCTGCATATCTCGGCACGCGAACGCGGAACCGGCCTGCTCTTCTTTTACATAAGCGCGTGCGCCGAGTCTGATGTCTCCTGGTGGCCTCGCGCTCCGCTGCGCGCGCCTCTCGCAAGGAGAGACATTACTGCGCCCGTCAAAGCCATCGGCGTCGGCATCACGGCCTTCGTCAGGGCGGGAATTAACGGAGGAAGGCGCCGCATGGCCCGGGAGGTGGGAGGTGGGAGGTGGAGGTAGGCTGGATGGTGACGGAGGTGATGGAGGTGGAGAGGGTGGAGGTGGAGGATGGGAGGTGGAGAGGTGGAGGAGGAGGAGGGATAGGTGGAAGGGTGAAGGTGGGAAGGAGGCTGAGGTAAGGAGTGGAAGGTGGGAAGGTGGAAGGTAAGGGGAAGGGTGGAGGTGGGGTGTGGAGGTTGTGGGTGGAGGTGGAGGTGGAGGTGGAGGTGGAGGTTGGTGTGTAGTGGGCGTAGTGGCGGTAGTGTGGTTGGTAGTGGTGGTAGTGGCTGAGGAGGTGGTAGTGGTGGTAGTGGTGGTAAGTGGTGGAGGTGGTAGTGGTGGTAGTGGTGGTAGTGTGGATTTAGTGGGTGTAGGTGTAGGAGTGGTGGTGTGAGGTGGTAGTGGTAGTAGTTGTGGGGTGGAGGTGGTGGAGGTGGGAGAAAGCACCGGAAAGCACAATGTGTTCGGGGCCACCCGTGACAGCTCCCAACGGGAACTTGGCATTACAAATGAGGGAGCGTTTGTGGGCGGTGGCGTGGGGGGTGTAGGAGGCGTGCAGACGGTCGTCTAGGCAAGGCTGATACATTCGGGTAGGAGAGAGAATGGATTTCTCTTCCTGGTCTGTTCGTTGCTCCAGTGGACCCTACTGGGAATACTGTTTGTGTTTTCTTTGACTTCGTTGAGAGGGCCATAACATGGTGGACAAATAGATTAGTAACATAGTTTATAGGCTACGCAGCTTAAACACTTTCCGAACTTAACAGGTAATAGTATCATATGAAGGTATAACCCCTATGATAGACACTATCAGACTATGATAGACACTATCAAAAATAGAAAAAAAATTATCCCACGTTTTTTTCTTTTTTATTATGCATGTATTTCTCTGATACTAAAAGAGTATTGAGATGCCACGATTTCCCGATCATAGGTCTTTCGTAATAACGTCTTTAGGTGGTGAAAAAAACAACGTTTGTTTCAATTTTTAGTTGAAGATTTTTGTTCATTATATGAAATTCAACTGTATATATGCGAAGGCAATTGCATTCCTTTATATTTGTAATGTATCATAGCTCCACCTAAAATGGTGACGAAAAGCTACATCAAAGAATGTATTTAAACAATGCGGTTTCCTGATAATGAAGCTATACACCTAAGCTGTCATATTTGCAAAAAACATCTTGAAATAACAATTTTGTACTGCGTCTTCCACCGCGACAACGTGATGATGCCAAAAAGAAGTTTTTATGAGAAGCATGAAACCTAAGGACCAACCTGAACTATCTAACATTTATATTTAACGTACAGATCTTTCTCAAAGAGACATTTACGTCAAAGGGACACTCACGTTTAAAACATAGGGGGCTGAGTTGTCACACATTATCACGTGAATGTAATATAAATGTTATTCACTGTTCCTTTAAACACTTTTGTAATTGTGTAGGGATAATCTTTTCTTAATATAATATTGTCTTCCACATTTTTCATTTGCATTTGAATTCAGTTACAATTAAGTGAATCCTCGCAAACGTATTGGTTGTAACTCATTCTTTCCTTCAGGATGCATTTGACTCAAACAAGAGGAAAGTAACGAACATTGCGATTGAGAACTCCAAGTCATAGGTGTAGTGTTCGGATATATATTTATCTACGAACTTTC